CTCTCTCTCTCTCTCTCTCTCTCTCTCTCTCTCTCTCTCTCTATCTCTCTCTCTCTCTCTCTTCCTTTCTGGATCTGTTATCCATGGCCAAAACCAAAGTGGGCATGGGTCAGTCAAGTAAAAGCCACTAGGGCGACTGCCGCTAGAAGAAGTCTCCCATGGAAGGATGAAATGGTGCTGGGTCGGCCTAGAGCGATAGGGCCTGCCAGTCACAAGTCAAAGCCCTGCCATTGACTAAATGAGTGCTTGGGTCCCTGCCCAGCTCCGAAGATCAAAGAGGCAATTCTCCCTCCAGCCCGGGATTCTCACCTGTTCTTACGTGAGTAAGAGCCACAGCGGAGGTTCTGGGAGCGAATCTCTCCATGGTGTGTAGACCACCTCATTAGCATTTTAACAACACATGTAATTTAATTCTGACCCATCCAGGGGATGCATACAAGGGTTGGTCACCCAGCATCCCAGGTCCTCACAGTTGTCTTAGACAGCTGGGAGAGAAACTGAGACACAGTTCCAAAAACAGCACATTTCTGACCCACCGCATATGTCCACTCCCCTGGCCCAGATCCCAAACAGGTCAAATTGGAGAATCATCTGCCTTTTTCTTCTGCTTTCTATCTCAGTCAGGTCAAATAGTGTCCACCCATGACCGCTGCCTCCGTGGTCCAGGATCACTAAGCTTAAAATACTAACCCTCCAGTGGTACAGGTCTTTATAGTAGGGGTCCTGGGAAAAATTATATCCCAGCGGACAAATTTTCTGGGTTCCAGTCCAAAATTTTCATATCAGATGGTGCAATGGCCAGAAATGTCTCCATAAGTCAGTCAACCCTCTTCACGTCGAATGGTGAGTAGCCACAGATTCTGTCTCTGTTCTGTCTCTTGTATGATTTTGGAGGCTGACAGCTCTAGGCAAGAGTTAAGAAAGGAAGAGCCAGCTAACTGTTTTCCATCCCTGTAGAAGTTTTTAGCCTTGCAGAGACTTAAGCATTACGACCAAACATAGCTGTTCAGTTATCCCACTAATTAGTAGGTAACTTGCCTCTCGCCTTCATTGTGATTCTATAAAATGGTCGCACGCTCTCGGGAGCATTCTTAAAAGTCTAATTTTCACCAGATTTTATTTCCCAGTCCATTTGAAATTTGGAAAGGTGAGTCATTTCTCATAAATTAAGGAATGTGTCTTGGACTTTCTCTACTGGGGATGGCAAACCTTTTGAGCTCGGCTTGTCAGCATTTTGAAAAACCCTAACTTAACTCTGGTGCCATGTCACATAGAAATTTTTTGATATTTGCAACCATAGTAAAACAAAGATTTATATTTTTGATATTTATTTTATGTATTTAAATGCCATTTAACAAAGAAAAACCAATCAAAAAAATGAATTTGCGTGTCACCTCTGACACGTGTGTCATAGGCTCGCCCATCACTGTTCTATACCTCTGTAGAGGGAAAGGCTAGTTCAAGGGGAGGCACCCCACCCGACTTTGGGTGGCCCTTGGCCGGAGCCCCAACTCTTTATGGATGCTATAGAATAGCCCTGAGACAGTTTTCTTTGGAAAATGGCAAAAATGACACAAGGGGAATGCGAGGCAATCAGCTAAGCCACATGGCCAAAATTGTCCATTGGAAAACGCTAAGGTCCTGGGGAGGGCCAGTCCCAAACCCGGACGAGAGACATTGCTTTTAATCGAGTGCTTTGCGGAGTATCTGTGGATTGTGTGTACTTGTAAATATTGTGTATGGGAGTGTTTATAGTAACGTTTCATGTTCATGTTTGAATTTGCCTGTTTAAAGATAGGAAATGTCCCAATTTTCCGGGGCTCAGCTGCTGTGGACAGGAGGAACACGTGGCAGGGCTTGAATCTTGAGAGTCTCTTTGCTGTGATGTACCTTAGTTACTGATTGCCGGCTTGGTTTGCTCTTCGCCGTCTTTATGAAGACAGAAAACTCTCTGTCTCTGCTCCGAGTAGGCTTTGTGTCACTCAGAGCCCACGGTTGTTCTGCTAGGTTAACATTTTAAGATTCTGAAGCTAATTTGAAAGTGTAAATTTGTGAAGGTTGCATATATGTTAACCCAGGGAAGTTTAAATAAAGACCACCAGCTAAAGTTGTGATTGTCTTCCCCACCTGGGGAGAAGCAGGAAAATGAAAAAGAGCCCTTTTAATCAGAAACTAAGCGGCTTTTGGTTCCAAAGGGGGCGGCCCTTAGAAAAGGGGGGGGGGGATTGGTAAAGCCCCACCCAGCATCACGCCCACTAAAACATCCTGTAGGCAGCATTGGCAGTAAGGGGGAACCGGTGGTCAAAGCCTGCCTGTGACGTCACAACCCCCCGCCCCCCCCCAGGCCCTGCCTAGGCGGGAACTAAAGTTAACTATGAGGCAAGGGGATGGACAGTCAATAGGCGTGTCCTCCCAGCATTTTCTCTGACATTCGAAGTATATCATATAAAAATTTAATGGCCAGATTGAAAATAATTAATTCTGTGGTCAAGACCAAATCTTTAATGTTAACAACTGGTTTAAGTTTTAAAAATATTTAAATTGGGTATATTTGACAGCTTTTCCAAATGTACTATTTTGAGAATTTAACTGAGAGACAGCTTTGTGACATCTCAAGGGCCCTGAGGTGACACAAAGATCTACTCTCCTATTTGAAGAATTTAACTGAAAGACAGATTTTGTGCAACAAGATTTAT